TTTTTAAAAAGTTAGTTGTTTTAAGTTCAAAAACAAGAGGAATGTCGGCTAATCACATTTGTGAGCCACTTGCCTGTAAAGGCACGGACGTTCCAGACGCCATAACTGCTCCAATCTTTAACTTGTTGTTCAGACAGAAACCCAGGTTTTTAGCTGAACTCGTAATCAGTGGTATGTCATTTACATTCTTCGCTTTCGCTTTGGACATCAGGAATGAAGTCATCGAGTCGATTGCAGCTAACGAAATGAACTGAGTCATAAAAGAAATAGAGAATATTTTCGTTGTTAGCGCGAAATTCGCAGGATGGAAACTTTGAATGCAAATCAACCTGCCGTATGAAACTATCTGGACAAAAGTTTCTAAAAAAAATACAATCATTGGAATTAAAGCTTCAATCTGTGGACATGCCACAAAAAACGTCAACGCTGAATTTTGGAAGGGTATGACACGATTAATTGTCCCAAGAAATTTGTGCCTCAGGTAAGCATTAGATCTTTTTTTTGTGAAGAGCTACAAAATTCTTCAATCGCTTTAGACATTTAGAGTCCACCAATATATCACATCATTCCTATGTGTATGAAGATTCGTAAACCTGTGTGGTAAGAGAACACAGGCACGAAAAGCCACGTGACTCTTCTGTAGACTCCTGCCGCACAGCTTTATATTGAGTCTTATCAGATTCTAAGCTTGCCAAAGTCAATCAAAATGAACTCACCAGCGTTTTTGTAGACACTGTTTCTCTATCTCGAGTGGCTGAACCAAACACTGAGGAACTTTGCAAAAGGTCTGGGAGGTTTCTCACTTGAAAGGTAGCAATCTTCGCCACAATCAATTCTTTGGCCTGCAAAATTTTAAATCGTATCGTAATTTTTAAGATCCGACTTATTTGATTTTAAAGCTATACATATGACAATGTACAACTGCAATTAAGAGGAGCTTCAATATCAAAGAGCAATGTGCAAATTGTTATGTGCTTTAACATGGATCACTTTTATTTATTTTGTTTTTATAGTTTATGGAAACAATTTGTCCTTGATTTCATTGATTGAGCTCACAGCTTAGACCCTAGAGCATTAAACAACCAACAACCAACGAGAAGTTCATGACTTCAAATTCCATTGCATCAGTCCTTTTTTAGCTTTTGTTTTTATAACACTGAATTCATACGGTTTACTAAACAGCAACGAGTTCGGTTATCATTTCTTTCAAATTCAACCACTCGTAAGGACTGACCTTAGGCTGAAGCTCTTTCCTCGATTACCTGTTATAATTTACATTCCAATGTAGTCTTACGTGCCCCTGAGTGGGGGGCAATTTCAGGGAGAAACTACAAAATCGACTGCAATTGCCTCACATACATCTTGGGTTGTATTGTAATGCAACGAGAAAAGTTCACCGTGAAAAGGACTATTACTTCGTAGTAAAACTAGAAAGGAAAAAGACAGAAGAAAGAAAAACTAGTGCTAGGGAAAGACGACGTCTTTACCTTTATTATTTCGCTTTGCTGTAAAGTAGGCAAACTTGAAATTGCTTTTAACACGGTATTTGCAATTTGCACTGCTTTGTTAAGGTCATCTGCTTTGTTAAGGTCATCTAAATCATCCAGGTGCTTTTTGATGGTCTCGGAATTAATGTCCTTGAATGGCTTAATCTACATGTACAAAAGAACCAAGCAATCTGACATCAACAACAATGACATAAAGGACTAATGGAAAACTTAATTTATGATCTAGATTTGAAAAGAAGTGGGTCAAAACTTGCTTCAAGCCATGCTAGTTGTGCAGCGGGGTGACGCCTGAAAATTGACATTTAACTAAAGAAAAATAATAACCCGTTATTTTGAACGTATTCTTCTTCCATAACATATACATTATTTAGCTACAATTATCAGATGATAAACTTAAGCTCGCTAGGAATGCATGATTAAGGGACTCGAGATAAAACAAAGATCGCCTTTTGAGGTTCAAATGTTCACTTGTACATCATGGCCAAATTGCGACCTTTTGAAAATCATTTTAAATTACCCTCCAGCAAAAAAAAAGTATAACTCTGTGTGAATGGTGCAGCTAAGACCTACCTGGACAGACAAGTTTGCGTATGTAGCAGATGCACCATTGCTATCGATCACAGTAACATTTAACTTCAACGTGAAATTTTGTGACAAGTCTCCAGATGGCAATAGAGACTCAACTGATGTATTCAAACCATGGTATACCACACTGGTGAGCCCATGAAAAAGTTGTAATTGAAACTGATAGGACAAAGGGGTGTTGGAACTAGTCCACCCGCTGCAACTCAGAGTGAAGTAAGTTCTTAATGCTATCCCTGACGAAGGTTCTATGGAACAGGTACCTCCCACTGGGGGAGATGACGTTAAAATATCATAGGCACTGATTCCTGCAAAGCTGTTTTCACTTGTAACAACTATTGCCAATCGGTAGTTCATTCCACTGTTGAATGAGTTCTCCTTTATGACAAGTCTGCTTGAATTGAGTGGTGTGCTCGTCATCAAATGCAAATCATTACAATGGTTCCATACAGTAGGATTGGATTTGTCTCTTTGGTAGAGCATCCAATGATATGATGATATGTTGGAGCACTGGTATCCTTGGCAAATCGATTCAATGCTCAGTTTGACGGAGGGTACCACCTTTGGACCGCAATTGATGAGACATCTGAAAACAAACAATCAAGGTATATTTGTGTTTTTAATTACAGAATACTGTCAAGAAATTTAATTTTATATTTGGTGGTTTATCACTTTCCAAATCCGGAACTTTAATAAGTATAACTTTCCAAAACTGTGTTCAAACCTAGCCATTTGCGCATCAAAAGTGCACTTGGTATTTTGGTCACTTTTTCGTTTTCTTCTTGGGTGAAAGGCACTCGTAGTTTCCTGAGAAATCTATCCCACAAATATAATGTAAGAGAACATAACAAAATATTCCTTTGAAACGGTTACCGTGCAGTTTCATTAGTACGCCATATACACCATAAGAAATAAATATAATATACAAATGAATATAATAACACTCTCGGATATGTGCATCCAGCCAACGCCTCAACAACACTGCACTCCATCGCTGTTACAGTTAGCGGTTCAAAATCTGATTGGAAAAAATAACGCTCCATACCTTTGATATATTCTAGGTGGACTTCCTTCCACAAGATGAACGACTTGAATAACGCTTGAGGTGCGATAGTCTTTAGCTACGGTCAATTTGATAATTAACGTATCATTTTCGTTTGTAAAATTAGAGTTGATCGAACTAGTGCGACCGAAGCTTGTCCCTGTATTTTTTATGGCTGAACCATTTACATGCGTAAATGAGCCTTGTGTCAGGAACTGAAGACTGGAATGGTTGCTTCTTGGTATTGTACCGTAGCGCCAAGTAAAGTTCATTCCTTCGTTATCACCAGTTTCGGGGTCATAAGATAGCGAACCGTTCATCGTAATGTTCTCAGTGACCCCTCGGATGACTTCCACCCCTCCGTAGATGGCTGCCACGAGATTTTGTGTCCTCTTACAGAATCGTCCATCTACAATGAAAATATGAACAGTGTCTCTCTATTCTTTAAGTGATTAAGATAGATATTTCTCAATCTGACATGTAAGTTTTTGGATGAAGAAGCCAGGGCTAAATGTAGATGCATGGAAACTGTACGTGTAGAAACAGCGTATGTGGGCTGAATGTTGAATAAGCAAAAAAACCAAAATTTTTGAAGTCAATAAAATGATTAAATACTGCTCATTGGCTCATTGGTTTCTCACAGGAAATTTTTTTTCCTAAAAAGGTAATCTGCGTGTCAATTATCAACGCCACTGCGAACGCTGGACTACAAACTGGCGCGTTCTAACTATTACGCCAGCGCGCCCCCCAACTACAGTTATTATCCCACCTTTATCGTAATTATAATAAGTTTACAACGTGCGCAAAAAACCGTAAAAGCAAAGAGTGACTAAGAATATCAAAACTCGGCAAAGGGAGTGAATATCAACAAAGAAGGCATAATTGAACCACCAGCTGATGGAAGTCATCGAATTTGTCGGCGGAGCCGTCATGCATAGTGATTGCGACCTCGGCAGTGTTAGAGATGAGAAAAATCTTTTTAGCAAATTCATCTAACTGTTTAGTATGACAACTAAGGGGTGAAAACTCCTGTTCTGTACCGCTGTTAAAACATTGTTTCTTTTGGGATCATCTTCGATGCATGTAAAATTTTTTACATACCTGTATACTTCAGTTTGTTGCAAAAGTCAGAGTCGCAACAGGAACCATCACAGCATTCGTCTTCATTAGAACTCAGTACATCGTGACATATTTGAGGAAGCTTCTCGCAGAATCGTGCACTATGGCATCCCATACCGAAGCTGTCAAGGCTACTGTTTTTTCTTTGGTAAACCCAAACACAACGGTCTTCGTTGCCTTCACAAACCACTTGGGAGCTGCTATTTTTGGACAGCACTTCATCACGGCAATCCTGGCCTGAGCCTACACATCTGTAACACTTTAATGGTGGGGCTGAGAAAGGAAGGAGTCGAAGGTATAATAAAACTCACGAAAGAACTTGCTGTATTGCATATTTTAAATAATTAATAGTCCACACATTAGGTGGACTATTGAATATTTAGATAGCAAACCGGGTGAATCGATGAACTGAACGGCAAGCAAATGATTACTATTTTTCAAGGAAAATATTTAAAAAGTTTTTTGGCATTCCTGAACTCAAATATTTAGTGTTTAAGAGATGTTATGCGATTTTAAATTTTGGCATCTCATTTCGTCCTCCTCCTCTTCCTCCTCCTCCTCAACAAGAACATCGAGAACAACGACAAAAGCAACGACGACGACGGCGACGAAGATGAAAACGAACGAAAACAAGGAAAACACAGAAGCAATTAGAACAAAAATAACACAAATCTCAAGGAGGCAACTGAGGAATAAGCAACCAGGAAAGAAGAACAATGACATACAGTTAAAAATCGAATTACCGTTTACTTCAATGAGAATGTGATCCGTCACATTGTACTTCAAGGTATTCCGCAACAGCGCTTCAAGAACACAGGTGTAGTTCCCCTTGTCACTTTCGTTAAGTTCTTGAAGAAAGAGAGGAAAGCTGTCTAGATCAACCGGATATCTGGTTGATTTAGACAACACCACTCCATCCTTAAACCATGAGATACTCGTCAGTGTGGTTCCTACCTTGTCGCCTCTCTCGATAATGTCGCAGATTAAGATGATGTTACCGTTATGTTCTGGAACACCAGCTCGAGAAATAACAACTTTGGGAATTTCTGATCCTGTATGAATGGCATTGCAGTATCAAGAAAAAGAATGAAAACGTTCAGCTGTATTCACCCTTATTGCCAAATACAATAGTTTGGCAACAAGATAATGTATTGTTTTTACTATGAGTTAAGCTTAAAACTTTCTCTCGTGTCTTAATTAAGAACAAAGTACGTATTTTCAAGGCAAGTATAGTGAGTGTCTTAAGCAATCACGAACAAGGGTTTCTAGCAGCGTGAAATAAGTCTGTAAATTTTTTAAAAAGTTATTTGTATATCCGAAATGAAAGGTAGGGTGCTTGCCACATCACTATCATTAATTTATCCAACGACGACGGAGAGAGGTAAATTGTAAATACTTGTTCTGAAGGGGGCTGTGTATTGGCTAGGTAAGACGATTTTGTCGAACTTGTGTTGCTGGAAAACACGAACTTGTAGAAGCCGAGAGGAACTATTTTAAAAATAGAACTTACTTTGTATGACAGCAACGGAAAAGCCGAGTCGATCAGTAAATTTTACATCACCCTTTGCAAAAGCCTGGCATTCGTAATTTCCGAGCNGAGTTCGGTTATCATTTCTTTCAAATTCAACCACTCGTAAGGACTGACCTTAGGCTGAAGCTCTTTCCTCGATTACCTGTTATAATTTACATTCCAATGTAGTCTTACGTGCCCCTGAGTGGGGGGCAATTTCAGGGAGAAACTACAAAATCGACTGCAATTGCCTCACATACATCTTGGGTTGTATTGTAATGCAACGAGAAAAGTTCACCGTGAAAAGGACTATTACTTCGTAGTAAAACTAGAAAGGAAAAAGACAGAAGAAAGAAAAACTAGTGCTAGGGAAAGACGACGTCTTTACCTTTATTATTTCGCTTTGCTGTAAAGTAGGCAAACTTGAAATTGCTTTTAACACGGTATTTGCAATTTGCACTGCTTTGTTAAGGTCATCTGCTTTGTTAAGGTCATCTAAATCATCCAGGTGCTTTTTGATGGTCTCGGAATTAATGTCCTTGAATGGCTTAATCTACATGTACAAAAGAACCAAGCAATCTGACATCAACAACAATGACAATGGTGATGACAAACAATGTTGTGCCTTACGTAATGGTGAACATTAACTCATGGAGGATCTTTGTCTACGTCATTGTTAACATTGCGCCATTAGAAATAAGAAATAAGCGCAATGAGAAAAAAAAAAAAGAATAAAAGTTACAGGTAACATAACAGACAAAAAGGACTAATGGAAAACTTAATTTATGATCTAGATTTGAAAAGAAGTGGGTCAAAACTTGCTTCAAGCCATGCTAGTTGTGCAGCGGGGTGACGCCTGAAAATTGACATTTAACTAAAGAAAAATAATAACCCGTTATTTTGAACGTATTCTTCTTCCATAACATATACATTATTTAGCTACAATTATCAGATGATAAACTTAAGCTCGCTAGGAATGCATGATTAAGGGACTCGAGATAAAACAAAGATCGCCTTTTGAGGTTCAAATGTTCACTTGTACATCATGGCCAAATTGCGACCTTTTGAAAATCATTTTAAATTACCCTCCAGCAAAAAAAAAGTATAACTCTGTGTGAATGGTGCAGCTAAGACCTACCTGGACAGACAAGTTTGCGTATGTAGCAGATGCACCATTGCTATCGATCACAGTAACATTTAACTTCAACGTGAAATTTTGTGACAAGTCTCCAGATGGCAATAGAGACTCAACTGATGTATTCAAACCATGGTATACCACACTGGTGAGCCCATGAAAAAGTTGTAATTGAAACTGATAGGACAAAGGGGTGTTGGAACTAGTCCACCCGCTGCAACTCAGAGTGAAGTAAGTTCTTAATGCTATCCCTGACGAAGGTTCTATGGAACAGGTACCTCCCACTGGGGGAGATGACGTTAAAATATCATAGGCACTGATTCCTGCAAAGCTGTTTTCACTTGTAACAACTATTGCCAATCGGTAGTTCATTCCACTGTTGAATGAGTTCTCCTTTATGACAAGTCTGCTTGAATTGAGTGGTGTGCTCGTCATCAAATGCAAATCATTACAATGGTTCCATACAGTAGGATTGGATTTGTCTCTTTGGTAGAGCATCCAATGATATGATGATATGTTGGAGCACTGGTATCCTTGGCAAATCGATTCAATGCTCAGTTTGACGGAGGGTACCACCTTTGGACCGCAATTGATGAGACATCTGAAAACAAACAATCAAGGTATATTTGTGTTTTTAATTACAGAATACTGTCAAGAAATTTAATTTTATATTTGGTGGTTTATCACTTTCCAAATCCGGAACTTTAATAAGTATAACTTTCCAAAACTGTGTTCAAACCTAGCCATTTGCGCATCAAAAGTGCACTTGGTATTTTGGTCACTTTTTCGTTTTCTTCTTGGGTGAAAGGCACTCGTAGTTTCCTGAGAAATCTATCCCACAAATATAATGTAAGAGAACATAACAAAATATTCCTTTGAAACGGTTACCGTGCAGTTTCATTAGTACGCCATATACACCATAAGAAATAAATATAATATACAAATGAATATAATAACACTCTCGGATATGTGCATCCAGCCAACGCCTCAACAACACTGCACTCCATCGCTGTTACAGTTAGCGGTTCAAAATCTGATTGGAAAAAATAACGCTCCATACCTTTGATATATTCTAGGTGGACTTCCTTCCACAAGATGAACGACTTGAATAACGCTTGAGGTGCGATAGTCTTTAGCTACGGTCAATTTGATAATTAACGTATCATTTTCGTTTGTAAAATTAGAGTTGATCGAACTAGTGCGACCGAAGCTTGTCCCTGTATTTTTTATGGCTGAACCATTTACATGCGTAAATGAGCCTTGTGTCAGGAACTGAAGACTGGAATGGTTGCTTCTTGGTATTGTACCGTAGCGCCAAGTAAAGTTCATTCCTTCGTTATCACCAGTTTCGGGGTCATAAGATAGCGAACCGTTCATCGTAATGTTCTCAGTGACCCCTCGGATGACTTCCACCCCTCCGTAGATGGCTGCCACGAGATTTTGTGTCCTCTTACAGAATCGTCCATCTACAATGAAAATATGAACAGTGTCTCTCTATTCTTTAAGTGATTAAGATAGATATTTCTCAATCTGACATGTAAGTTTTTGGATGAAGAAGCCAGGGCTAAATGTAGATGCATGGAAACTGTACGTGTAGAAACAGCGTATGTGGGCTGAATGTTGAATAAGCAAAAAAACCAAAATTTTTGAAGTCAATAAAATGATTAAATACTGCTCATTGGCTCATTGGTTTCTCACAGGAAATTTTTTTTCCTAAAAAGGTAATCTGCGTGTCAATTATCAACGCCACTGCGAACGCTGGACTACAAACTGGCGCGTTCTAACTATTACGCCAGCGCGCCCCCCAACTACAGTTATTATCCCACCTTTATCGTAATTATAATAAGTTTACAACGTGCGCAAAAAACCGTAAAAGCAAAGAGTGACTAAGAATATCAAAACTCGGCAAAGGGAGTGAATATCAACAAAGAAGGCATAATTGAACCACCAGCTGATGGAAGTCATCGAATTTGTCGGCGGAGCCGTCATGCATAGTGATTGCGACCTCGGCAGTGTTAGAGATGAGAAAAATCTTTTTAGCAAATTCATCTAACTGTTTAGTATGACAACTAAGGGGTGAAAACTCCTGTTCTGTACCGCTGTTAAAACATTGTTTCTTTTGGGATCATCTTCGATGCATGTAAAATTTTTTACATACCTGTATACTTCAGTTTGTTGCAAAAGTCAGAGTCGCAACAGGAACCATCACAGCATTCGTCTTCATTAGAACTCAGTACATCGTGACATATTTGAGGAAGCTTCTCGCAGAATCGTGCACTATGGCATCCCATACCGAAGCTGTCAAGGCTACTGTTTTTTCTTTGGTAAACCCAAACACAACGGTCTTCGTTGCCTTCACAAACCACTTGGGAGCTGCTATTTTTGGACAGCACTTCATCACGGCAATCCTGGCCTGAGCCTACACATCTGTAACACTTTAATGGTGGGGCTGAGAAAGGAAGGAGTCGAAGGTATAATAAAACTCACGAAAGAACTTGCTGTATTGCATATTTTAAATAATTAATAGTCCACACATTAGGTGGACTATTGAATATTTAGATAGCAAACCGGGTGAATCGATGAACTGAACGGCAAGCAAATGATTACTATTTTTCAAGGAAAATATTTAAAAAGTTTTTTGGCATTCCTGAACTCAAATATTTAGTGTTTAAGAGATGTTATGCGATTTTAAATTTTGGCATCTCATTTCGTCCTCCTCCTCTTCCTCCTCCTCCTCAACAAGAACATCGAGAACAACGACAAAAGCAACGACGACGACGGCGACGAAGATGAAAACGAACGAAAACAAGGAAAACACAGAAGCAATTAGAACAAAAATAACACAAATCTCAAGGAGGCAACTGAGGAATAAGCAACCAGGAAAGAAGAACAATGACATACAGTTAAAAATCGAATTACCGTTTACTTCAATGAGAATGTGATCCGTCACATTGTACTTCAAGGTATTCCGCAACAGCGCTTCAAGAACACAGGTGTAGTTCCCCTTGTCACTTTCGTTAAGTTCTTGAAGAAAGAGAGGAAAGCTGTCTAGATCAACCGGATATCTGGTTGATTTAGACAACACCACTCCATCCTTAAACCATGAGATACTCGTCAGTGTGGTTCCTACCTTGTCGCCTCTCTCGATAATGTCGCAGATTAAGATGATGTTACCGTTATGTTCTGGAACACCAGCTCGAGAAATAACAACTTTGGGAATTTCTGATCCTGTATGAATGGCATTGCAGTATCAAGAAAAAGAATGAAAACGTTCAGCTGTATTCACCCTTATTGTCAAATACAATAGTTTGGCAACAAGATAATGTATTGTTTGTATTATGAGTTAAGCTTAAAACTTTCTCTCGTGTCTTCATTAAGAACAAAGTACGTATTTTCAAGACAAGTATAGTGAGTGTCTTAAGCAATCACGAACAAGGGTTTCTAGCAGCGTGAAACAAGTCTGTAGATTTTTTAAAAAGTTATTTGTACATCGGAAATGACAGGTAGGGTGCTTGCCACATCACTATCATTAATTTATTCAACGACGACGGAGAGAGGTAAACTGTAAAATACTTGTCCTGAAGGGGGCTGTGTATAGGCTAGGTAAGACGATTTTGTTGAACTTCTGTTGCTAGAAAACACGAACTTGTAGAAGCCGAGAGGAACTATTTTAAACATAGAACTTACTTTGTATGACGGCAACGGAAAAGCCGAGTCGATCTGTAAATTTTACATCACCCTTTGCAAAAGCCTGGCATTCGTAATTTCCGAGCGCCCCATCATTACTGTCATCGTCAATCGTTAAACGTCGGAAATGTAAGGTGACAAAAAGCTTATCTACAAGTGAAAGAAATGAAAGGAATGTTCATCTTTCTAATAACATAAGGGTAATATATGAGAAAGCAGTGCACCAATTGTTAGCATACTATATTCAGGCGAAACCTGTGAAATGGTAACTTTAACAACAGCCTAACGACCTTTTACGCCAACGACCAGAATACTCATGAAATATAATAATGTTGCAATCGATCTTGACAAAATAGAAATAATAATAATAATAATAATAATAATAATAATAAAAAATCCAAAACGCACTCAGCCTCCAGGGCTGGGGCACCATTTACGCCCTCCCCCTTGTTTGACGGTGGAGAAAATTCGAGTATTTTCCGGAGTTAATTTAAGATTAGAAGTTGTTTCCCAAAGTTAGAATTGTTTTTTGATTGGGAGGCACTAATATAATGGGCTTGACGCCATTAAAAAGTACACTGTGCGGCGATAAATCGAAAAGAAACCCGGCCAGAGCAAAATTGGTGCAATCACTTGAGCGGAAAAGAGTCAATGTGATCAGGGTTAGTTTTGTGTATGCATGAGGGAGACNAATAATAATAATAATAATAATAATAATAATAATAATAATAATAATAATAAAAATCCAAAACGCACTTAGCCTCCAGGCCTGGGGCACCATTTACGCCCTCCCCCTTGTTTGACGGTGGAGAAAATTCGTGTATTTTCCGGAGTTAATTTAAGATTAGAAGTTGTTTCCCAAAGTTAGAATTGTTTTTTTGATTGGGAGGCACTAATAATAATGCCATTAGAAAGTACACTGTGCGGCGATAAATCGAAAAGAAACCCGGCCAGAGCAAAATTGGTGCAATCACTTGAGCGGAAAAGAGTCAATGTGATCAGGGTTAGTTTTGTGTATGCATGAGGGAGACTTAAACAATTTAAATTCAATTCTTTTTCTGACTGCCTGAGAAAAAGGTGTTTTTTATGTACTAAATTAGACCTTCAATCTGGCCAAGTTTGAGACTCTTCATTTTGCATCCCTCGAGGGCCGTTCGTAAGTATTAGTAAAGGATACTAATTTTGCTCAATTAAGGTGACTCAGAATGATCGCAGTCACTCTACTTTCACCTACTATGTTTTTGTGTTCGGTTGGTGAAGTACAAGCTTTTACTAGCTTTAAGTTCATGTTCCCGATTGGAATCGTTTCTCCTCAAAAACTCGATTTTTTGGGGAGTCGTTTCTCCTGACGAACCAGAAGCTACACACGTCACTTGTGCTGCTGAGGACTCTATTGCAGAAATGTTCTCAGGAAATGGCTCAACAATCCTAACGTTATCAGCTGCGAAAGAAAAAGAAAAGAAAAAAATTAGACGATGTCATGATATTTGAAGACATAGAGACTTTTAAAATGGTTGGCGTTCTGGGCTCTGGGTCGAAGGGTCTGGGATCGAACCCTGGCCGGGAAGATTGTGCTGTGTTCATGGGTAAGACATTAGCTCTCAGGAGCCCTTCTAAACTCAAGTAAATCAATGTGAACCATCAAAATGCTGGGAGTGACTTGTGATGAAGTGGCTTACAATTTGGTAGAGTGAGGTAAAGTCTGCATACGAGCCAAGTGATCCATCTGGCCGGCGTTTATCTCCGGTTTCCGTAGCATGAAGCGGCTAGGAGTATTTCTACTCCTCCCTGGATGGGATGCTAGTCCATCGCAGGGCTACCTCAGCATTTAATACGCCGGTACCCATTTATACACCTGCGTGGAGAGAAGCACTGTGAGAGTTAAATGTCTTGCCCAAGAACACAGTACAATGTTCCCGGCCAGGGCTCGAACCCGGACTGCTCGCTCCGGGGACGAGTGTACTAACTACGAGAGAGGGAGGGAATAGCATCAATACTCGTGGACATGAAACAGAAATCAGATTTATGTGCCAGCAATGTTAGGCCACTGGCCTTCTCAAGGCCTATTCAGACCCATCATAAATTGACACTTTTTAGAGATTCAATCAAGGAACATGATAAATGTCACCTCTGTGGAGAAAGACAAACGTTAACCCATCTTTTTGTTACCTGTTCTGAAGCTCGGCTTTTTTGGTCTCTCTTTGCTAATTGGTGGAGCTCCAAAAACGGAGATAGGATCATTCGATAAAAATGAAATAATATATGGCGTGACGTGACAGATAACGTCGCTCGTCATTGTGGCTTAAACCTCTGCCGGCATGATGATAGCCAAATATTATTTATACACTGCCTCAAGAAAAGAAGAAGAGTTTTATTTCGATGCTTTCTTAGCGATTTTGACAAACAAAATTAAAATTGAGAAACATAAATCTAAGTCACAAATTAATATGTGAGAAAGCCTCCTATTGTAGCTAACCCCCTACATGAAAGTAATGTAAGATATTAAAAAATTGTAAATAATGTTAGTATTGTAAGTTTTGTTAGTATCGTTAAATTGTACGTTACGTTAACATTGCAAGTAGTAGGTAATTTTTGTATGTAATGTAATGTAAGTTATTGCAATAAAAACAACAACAACAAAAAAAACAAAACAACAAAAAAAATAAATTGACACTTTAAGCCGTAAACTTAGGATTGAAATCATATACATCATAATCGAAACATTTCTTTGTTTCTAAGACTATCTTTTCCATACCTTCACGAACGCTCGATAACTTCAAAACATACACCAACAGAAACACTTTCATCTACAAATTAGTGAAAAAGAATTATGTCAGCAGAATTTTGCGACAAGTATGGGGTACTGAGTATGAATACCAGTATCTTTTTATGGGGTTATAGTCGATCATGAAGTGTGACCTTATTGAACCTCGTTCTCGCCCCTTGGTGCATTATGCTCGAAAACAGCAAGAGCCGTGTGTTTTGACTCCCCTCCCTTGATGTTAAATGATCATATCTCCAGCGTGGTGTAAGGAGCGGGGAGGTGAGTGATTAGACCTCTCTCTTGAGTTTTCCAGTTGAGTTTTTTAAAGGCACATAAAAAAATGTATATGGGACTTATCCCTGAACTTGCCTTGCAAGATGACATTTTTGGTTAAATTTAACTTTAAAAGTTTCGGAAACTTTGCTTGTGCGGGGAATATGTATACAGTTGTCTTCTCTTGACATGTTTATAAATATGCCTCGCATGGAAGAACACGAAATGGCCGTACTTGTATCTTCAAAAGTGCAGTGTCTGGTTCTTTTTTCAATATTGCACATCGTACCCAAAAATCCCTATCATTTATCGTTTAGTTTGCAGGTTGGTTAATGACACTAAGACATCTATGTGAACCTTCTTATGACCATATTAGAAGGCATATAAATAACGACTAGCTCTGAATATAATTATGTACACGGTAAAGTGAAGTCAAGATGACTGGATATTGACAAAATATAACGAACGAGGCCAAACTCCAGTTATCGATCAGGCTAAGGTAGAATAAAACCTGGCTCGTTATGTATCTAAGCAATAGCAAAAAATACTGAAACAGTTTGCTTAAAGAGTCGCCTTGCCAAGAAGCAAAACAACACTTTTTTAGAGAGTTGAGCACGAGAAAGTTAAGACATAGGATTAGAAAACTTTGAAATAAGAGTTAGAATAAAGTGAAGATACCTACCGGGATCATCTCTTGGTTGGCTCCGAAATATGGCTCACATGAAATTCACGGTATGAATGAGGAATTTTCTTACATGTACGTACAAAGAGTCTTTATAAACCAAAATTAAAATGTAGTACAGTGCATGGACTTTGCTGTTCAGCCTGCGGGTGGCATAATTGAGCTTAAAAGGATTCCAGGGTGACTCATATTATGTGACGCAGATCATATGACTACATAAATTTAGTTATACGTGAATAGGGTAGTCTTAATGTTTTTACAGATTTATGTCTCTTTTTGCGGTTACGAAGAGTTCTTCAATGTAATATGAACTACTGTTGTGTGATTAGAATTTCGGGAGAGAGCAAGTCAAAACGACTCTTTTGTTTAATAGGAAGCTCGTGGCAAAGGTTTATAATTACTTAACTGCATGTCATGGCAGTTTGACGGATCATACATTTAATTTTGATCACGTCTTTAAAGTTCTTCAAAAGGCAGCTTGTCAAAAAAAAAAATAAAAAAAAAAAATAATAATTTTACTCATTTTAATTTCGAGAGCCCCTATATTAATTCTTCATCGCATTTTGTGTTTCTATATCCCGGACACTTGCTTTTTGGGCTCATGCATATGGCTTATAATCAAGCAATTTTATCAGAAGACATCGGTGACAATTTAATAATTGCAGAGATCGGAGAAGAAAGTTTCTCAGATAGAGAATGACGTATCGTGAGAGAGAAACGATTATCCTTGTTTTATTACTTTTTCTTTGTGTTTCACTACCTTAAAGGTAACGTCTGCATGCGAGCCAAGTGGCCCATCAGGTGTTGTAGTTCGGCTTGCAGGTGACATAATTGAGCTTAA